CCACACTGATGTACGTGCCCTTCGCGCACAGCTTTTCGACCATGTCCCATACATGGTCACTGATCATCGTACTGGTTTTGATAAGATCGCGATCCTTCTTCTTCAGTCCCGGAATTCCATCAGGGTGCTTCTTTGTCCTCCCATGCAAGATGAATTTGACATTCTCACCTCCTACCCCAACGTCCTGGACCAGTGAGTTCTGCTACGAAGAAATAACCGATTATGTGGCTTGACTGTCCCTCACTGTTGCCTTGCTACCTTTCCTTTTCTTGGTTCAAACAAACGGCCGTCCTGATTTTTGGGTACCGCGCCGCGGAATATGTATTGCACGGCGGGGCAAGGTGCACATACTCACACCGCAAGGATTTGGCTAGCTTCAGGATGTGGACCACACAGTCTTTTTGACTCATGTCGTGGCTTGGGTCCAACAATATGTCAAAGCGAAAGGATCGCATGCCCACGGTCTCCAAGGCATTACTGAGGTGTCCAGACCCGGCAAACACTTCGAATGCCACTGGCCCGCCACCTTGGGCGTGGCTCACCCCGGGCGCCGTAGCTGTGCTGAAGCCTTTTGCAATGCCCGTTTCCCCGGCCCATGTCACGGTTTCTTGCGCGTTACATTTCTTGCGCCCCCTGAGTCCCTTTTGGTTGCAGCCGCTGGTCATGCCTTTCTTGCGCTTTGCTTGCTTCAGGTCAGCGCTGGCCATTGCGGTGAAAGTAAGGAGTGAACTCGGGGTGAATCAATCTTGTTCGAGCCTTCCCCACTGTTGTGTTGTCGTCTGCCGCACTCCCTTGTCTTTTTGGACTGTTTCCCCCCTATGACAGCCTCTCTGGCCCTTCATATTTTTCCCTGGTCCCTGATGCAACAACACCTTTTTCGCACTCCAGCCCCTCTCCTGTGCCTTACTACGTTCAATCCAGCTTGCACGAATTACACCCGAGATCTGTGCCGATGTGTCCGAACTTTGCAAACTCTGTCATATCGTTTTTCATATGGTTTTGAACTTATGACCCTACGGATCGTGTTGACAATGCACCTGTCATCAAAGTTCGCGTACATCACCTCTACCACTTACACTGACAGGTCACCTCTTGAGCTGTTTTGGCGTGGTGACGCTTGCCTCCTTTCTGTTCTGTTTCGGTTGCCTTCAAATTTGGGCGCCGCATCGACAACAGCTTGACAGCTATACATTTCCTGCATCCATCGACTCATCTCCACTACCACTATCCCATCGTTCGTCTTCGTCCAATTCCCAGGTGCGCACCATTTTGAGTTCAATCTCGAAACCATGCACCGTGCTTCTAAGCCACGTTGTTTCCTTGCATTTCAAGATTAAATAGGCTTCACCGACCACCCGGTCGTTGCGTACGCGCAACCAATAGAAGTTTTCACCCTCGGCTTGCAGCCGTTCCACCGCATCGCCAAACCCAGGCCATGTGAACACGGTCTTCAACTCTGCACGGTCAATGCGTTCCAGTGCTAACTAACACCTGCCAGCGGTGCCCTGGCAGGTACCTGACACGGACTTGCCTTATTGGACCATTTCTTGCTACCTGTGCGGGCTGTGCGCTGACGGCACAATTTTGACAGAGTCGAAGTGGGACAATGATGTGTTTGTACAATCTCTTCACATGACTGCCAAAGCCGTCCGCCTCAGAAAGGCCAAATTTCTTCAACAGCTGCTCCAACCGTGCTCGGCTTGCTGCTGACGGGAATCCACGTGCTGCTTGTGCCACTTCCAGGCACGGCACCCAGCCAAGCGCTGCTTCCACCAATACGGCAACGAATGGCACTTGCAGCATCTTGACTTGTTTTGCCCTGGGGCCCAAAAAAATCCCTGCATGCAACGCCTCCAAACAACAATCTCACTTTACCACTTCCTGTTTACAACTTTATCCTTCCATCCATTGCTTCTGCTTCGCACAAAACATATGCATTGACGCCTTTCCAAGTTGCATTTGATTACAATCACAAATGGGCAAACCCTCTCCCATAACTCAGTTTTAGTGGGACTTGTTATTTCATTGCAACTACATCTTTCTGCATTTTCTGTTTCAACCCAACACGAAACGAAGCTGCTCGCATTCGAACGATGCCCCTCTCTTTTGGAACTTGCTGCATAGTCCGATGCCGTAGATGGGCTGCGTCTCTTAAGACTGCGCGGAGTGTCAAGATGGTCTAAAGACCAAGGTGTTGGCGAATCAAAGCAATTGAATGTTCTGCATCGGCCAGGCGGAGTTCTAAGTCACGAATACGCATGGCCGATTCAGCAGCTAATTCCATGAGACGCATCACGGGGATAGTGTGAATAATAAGCACTGTTTCTTCTCGAAGAGCCAAGGGAACATCTGATGCTACAAGAGTCAGATAGTTACCAGTGGCAAACGCCAGGTTGGTCAGGTGCTCGAAGATCTGTGCGTCTGCCACGTAAAAGTGGTAAATAGCACCGGTGGAAATAAACTCATGCCATGGTATCCAATGCCTTGCGAGGTCGATCAGCGGTGGTTCTACCGCATGTCGTAAAGATACTGAGGTAGGGTAAAGAATTTCGTTGACATTGCGGTCCAAAGCATTCAATTGAAGTGGCTCCAGAATAGAGTCGATGATGGAGTTAGCAACACCAGGTTGGAATTCAAGCGTGAATCGAATCTCCGAAGGCATGCGCGCCATAATAGAAATAAGTTGTAGCCACGGTGGTGATCACCAAGTAATGCAGTGAACGAAGTCGCAAACAAAATCCAGATAGAATACGCAGATGTTGGCTATGTAGGAGACCCAGCAAATCGGAGTGGGTGGGAAGGGAAAGAAAAGAAGAGCAAGCAAAATCAGAAATCCCGCTTGAGCCAAAATGATTTGGTGGAACAGACAATACATAAGATTCTATCAAAACATATTCGAACACACACGACGTACAAGCCATTGAGGAAGCAATCAATCTCCTCCAAAAGTCGATCTGTCGATCGCGGTGTCTTGCTCATTTGAATATAACATGTTTGCCGCCAACCTTGCACACAATTCGTCTGTTCTCGCATCTTATCAATTTTTCCCCTCATGTTCCGGCCATTCGTCCAATGCACAAACAGTCCAAGTACTCTCACCGACCTCCTCCACATCTCCCAGGGATTCTTCACAAAACTCTTCCCTGTAGCCACACGCTGTCAGAAAGCCAAATAAACACCCTGGTGCAGCCGCATGTCATAGGTCAGTGTCAAGATTTCATCGAATTCATCCAACTCAATAAGATGCAAACGACCGGAATAGACCAGACCTGCACAATTGACTCGCTTTAATCCACTAATTTCTACGTGGGACACTTGGAAACCAACCAACCGCGCCCCATGCAACTGGGCATCGCACAATGCAATTGGGTCATTTAGACAACGAAAGGAACACAACTGAACAGGTCGTGTTTCTCAGCATCTCCGCATCACCGGGATCACTAGAGCCCTCGACCTGCTATTTTCCATCTCGGACAGAACCGATACCTGCATCGAACCAGAAAAAGTACTACATGGAATATGATGCTGATTCTGAGATAAGAACTGCAAAATCTTCCACAATCGTTGACGGCTTTAAACAAGGAACATGTAGAGGTCTGATGCTATCCTCATCCGCAAAACCGAATCCTCTGAGTCGTGATACCAATTCATCCCGCTGCGCGGGAAACGACCTACTGCATCAGCATTTGTCAAGCGTGTCAAACATTGAATTCCCAAGTTGCCATATGGAATTCGCAGATCTCAACTTTCTCTTCCCACATATTCCATCAGTTCCAAGATATTTTCTTATATGCCATGGAGATATACCTGCATTTACACCATATTCCATTAGTTGCACTTTGAAAATGCACATTCTTTCTATACTATCCATCATCTGCCGATGACCTGCTGAACCCCCAGGCCTTTTGAGATCTGAAATCTGAAAACTAATGATGAACTAATGATGTCAACCCTGTCATACTCCGTGACATGGTGAGCCGCTGCGCTACGGCCACTGGGCATCCCAACCTACATGCAGTGATCCAAGAGGGGTGCGACACACCTCGGGAAATCCACAGACTTCCCTGGGAACCCATTCCGTGCAAATAACAAGTTTGGAAGTTTTTGCACGTTGGTTGGAACATTTCTGCCACACTGACAGTTGGAAGTTTCCCAAAATGAGGTTTGGAAGTTTCGATGAGTTTCCAGCGGACCCAATTTCTGGCTGCCGATAACCATGGGCTCGAGAAGGCAAAAGCCAGGCTGACGGGCGAACTTCGATACTGTGGAACAACTCAACAATCAAAACACAATCCGAGAACCCTCCGAAAACGTTGGAAGGCGAAATTTTCACCTATCCCCAAAATCTGCAGGCTGCAACTCTGATTCAACCACAGAAACCGTTTTACTGCTTGGCTTGGCTTTTAGCCCAAGAACAACTTCTAAGCCAGTCGCACGAGTATTCCATTGTCCACACTTGAGCAAATGGCTGCAACTCCCACATGCTTCGGACACTCGCATGAGGTCAGCGCAAGTGTCTGCATGTCTGAAGGCAATTTCTTGCCAGCAGGGCTCTCACGTCGCAACCATTCGGCGACCAACCACTCTTGAACCCGAATGATGTGACCAACCGCAATGTCCTGCCAGCCTGTGGCTGGATGAAACATGGCCATGGGTAAGCCTTCCCACCCCAGACCCCAGGTTCGCTTTTCTGGACTACCACTATTAATTAACCTCCGCTATTACAACCGTTCACCACTACTATTAAACAACCGTTCGTCATGGTTAGTCTTGCAACCAGATTTCAAGCCAGCTGTGCTGTTTCAAACCAGCTGTGCTGCTTTGGCGGCTCTGGACCCTGTCTCCCGGCCGGCCCTGGCTCCGGCGGAGCCGATACCGAGCGTCAGCTCTTAAATAAGTTAAAAACTGTGAGTGGCTTGCATCATTTAGAAAATATTGCCACTATCATGTTGTTATAGAAAAGAAAGTCATGCGAGACAAGGGGAGGCAAAGTCCCCCGCTCATTTTCCCAGCACTCGCGATGATTTCTGCTTAGCTGTTCCAAGGCACTGGCTCAACAGGAACTGAAGCATTGGCGATTGCACCAGTTTGGAAAATTCTTCGAAGTTGATGACCCCATCCCCAGACTGATCCATGGTGGCGAACAAGTTCTTCACCTGATCTGCGATGCGTTTAATTTGATGTGCCATGGACGGCTTGCAACAGCAGCGATTGATTTCCGGAAGAGGAAAAACGCAATTCATGTAAGAACTGCGCCGCACAGAACCACAAGCAAACAACACTATATGCAACTCAACTTGGCATGCATTCGGAAATTCATGATTTGATGCTTGTGGTCTTGGGCGCCCAGCCTTGCGAGTGTAAGAAGCGAGTTCCTGCTCCTTCTTCTTGAAAGCCAGCTGCTCATCGCTGGTTGCCTCAGGAACTTTCGCGCAAAGAGAACCTTCTCGATTTTCTGCCATGCGATCTACGCACCCTTGTGGCTACATCATGCCACTGTGCCAAATCTGTTCAGGAAACCAGTGAGATATGCGAGAATACTGTATCTCCTGAAAAATGGCGAGTCTATGCAAATGTGATACAGGAACAAACGCAAACATCCAAACCACCCCTTGAATGCTTCCGAGGGACTATGCGCATGGTTTGCTGCACAAAAACTGAATTGACAACGTTCCTCGCTGCAGCATGTATGGGAAATGCAGAAGCAATGAAAGATTCACGTGGTTTTTGAGATGCCAACTAAATGTCATGAAAGCAAATGAAACCAATAACATGAAAGAATCCATAAACGACTGAATGACTGAATGAAAGAATCTAACATGAAAGGACGTGAAATGGCATGAAATGAACGTGTGCAGACTTGAGTTGAGTTGAAATAACAAGAATTTGAGCGAACCAATGAATGAACGAATGGTAGAGCTAAAGGAAATACAGGAATTGAACAAACTGAATGATTTGAATGCACTGAGAATAAGCGAAATTGATGAAATAAATGACATGAAATTAACCGATTAAAAAAAAAAGGAAAGAACAAGCGAATGAGTGAATGATTGGCTGCATGAGCGTATGAAAAAATGAACTGATTGAATGAATGGCTGAAGGACTGAGGGAATGAACGAACGAACGAACGAGCGAACGAACGGAGGTTTAAACCAACGAGTGAAGGACTGAACGAGCGAATGATGGAATGAGGGAATGTTAAGGAATGACTGTGTGAATGAGTAAGTGAGGGAGTGAGTGCGTGCGTGCGTGCGTGCGTGCGTGAGTGAGTGAGTGAGTGAGTGAGTGAGTGCGTGTGCGCGTGAGTGTGTGAGTGCGATGCCATGCATGGATGAGTGAACGAATGAGTGAATGGATGACTCCATGTCTGACTGCCTGAGTGACTGAACGAGCTACTTCTCCATTGAGCTACCCATTCCCTAAGCTACTGTACGCCTTCTCTAAGCCACCTCTTCGCACCCATTTTTTGGTGTTCGCTTTTGAAGCATCCTATTGACAACCAAATACTACATCTTCCCAATTTCCTGCCAATTTGCGCTTGTTCGCGAGGTGGTCACTTTATCCCCTCGATCAGTTGGGGAAGGTTACCTCCTACATAATATATTTTCGTTGCAACTCGCACCAAAGCTGACGCGAACATCATTACCACTGCTACCACCCCCATGAACTTGACAAGTAGTCCAGCACACCCTGTCAAAGCAGGGTCTGAAAAACTGTGAAGCAAGTCCGAAATACTCTAACACAAGGCCATTGCAGTGCTGTGTGCGCTCAGCCGGGAACCGTGGACTTTAAATTACTGACCCTGCTGCGATTCCCTCGGCCATGCAGAAAAAGTACGGTAGGGCAGGAAAACGTGACAGCAATACAAAGCATGTTGTATTCCTATCGACACGCTCAAGGGTTACGGCCACTCCAAATAAGAAGAAAAACTACAAATTTCCCGATTTTTCCCTAGGGCGGGGGCACCATTTAAGAGTAGGGGGCAAGGATTGTAGATGCAGCAGTCAACTTCTCATGGAACATCATGGAACTGTTGTCCAGGCGCATCACAGGTACCAAAATTCCCAGTTCACGTTGGATGCGTTGTAGCTGGTACAGTAAAGGGGCCCTCCAACAGTCACCTGCCGCCAAGGCTCAGAACTGCAAAACCCAAGATGCACCTCGCAGACATGAAGTGACCGGTGCCAGACTTACTCGGTTGGGGCCCTTGCCTTCTCTGAGGTTTCGGTTTCTCAACTCGTTAATTTATTCGGAGACAATGATATCTTACCTTATCTTAAGTTATACTATACTAGAACACACTGTGTTATATATTATAAGAAGATATATTATATATTATGGCACATTAAAGTCTATCTTATATTAAATTATGTTATATATGTTATATATTGATATATATTATGTTATGTTATATGTGTTATATTATATAAAGTTAAATTCAAAAATATGCGATATATTAGAACAAACTAAAATACATGTTATTGAGAATTGTATAAAAATGATATCTTATTTTAAACTAAATTACAAAATATCAAACTATACATTTTAAAATAAACCACCTAGAGTGTGGCCTCAGAAAAAGCAGGAGGGAGGGAACGAGAAGATAACACACAAGAAAAACACATCATGAATGATGATGGGGATAATGGTGGTGATGTTGACGGTGATGATTCTTGGTCATATCCACTGTTCGGTGTTTTTTCCCCACTGGAGGTTTGCTCCAGGGCTGGCGCCTGGGCAACAAACAGGATCACGAGAGATTGTGTTTTTACACAAAAAAACTTTAACACACACAGAAACTTTTACACAGACAAGCTTTTACACAGAGAGGTTTTTACACACCGAAGCTTTTGCACACAGAGGCTTTTACCCACAGAAGCTTCTACATAGAGAAGTCTTTACACAGGGGTGCTTTTACACACAGAACCTTCTACACACAGAAGCTTTTACAGAGAGGAGCTTTGACACACAGAAGCTTTTACACAGAGAAGTCTTTACACACCGAAGCTCTTCCACACAGAAGCCTTTACACAGACGAGTCTTTGCACACAGAAGCTTTTACGTAGAGAAGTCGTTACACAACGAAGCTTTTACAGACAGAAGCTTTTACACAGAGAAGTCTTTGCACAAAGGAGCTTCCAACCCCACACAAGCTTTTGCACACAGAAGCTTTTACCCACAGAAGTGTTTACACACAGAAGCTTCTAGAAGTCTTTACACAGAGAAGCTTCTACACACAGACGAGTTTACACACAGAAGCTTTTGCACAGCGGAGCTTTTGCTCACAGAAGCTTCTACACAGAGAAGTCTTTACACAAAGGAGCTTCTACACACAGACGAGTTTACACAAAGAAGCTTTTGCACAGCGAAGCTTCTACACACAGACGAGTTTACACACAGAAGCTTTTGCACAGCGGAGCTTTTGCTCACAGAAGCTTCTACACAGAGAAGTCTTTACACAGAGGAGCTTCTACACACAGACGAGTTTACACACACAGAAGCTTTTGCACAGCGGAGCTTTTACACAGAGGGGCTTTTACACACCGAAGCTTTTGCACACAGAAGCTTTTACTCACAGAAGCTTCTACACAGAGAAGTCTTTTCACAGAGGAGCTTCTACACACAGACGAGTTTGCACACAGAAGCTTTTGCACACCGAAGCTTTTACACAGAAGGGCTTTTACACACCGAAGCTTTTGCACACAGAAGCTTTTACTCACAGAAGCTTCTACACAGAGAAGTCTTTACACAGACACAGAGGAGATTCTACACACAGAAGCTTTTGCACAGCCCAGCTTTTGCACAGAAGGGCTTTTACACACCGAAGCTTGTGCACACAGAAGCTTTTACTCACAGAAGCTTCTACACAGAGAAGTCTTTACACAGAGGAGCTTCTACACACAGACAAGTTTACACACAGAAGCTTTTGCACAGCGGAGCTTTTACAGAAAAGGGCTTTTACACACCGCTTTTGCACACAGAAGCTTTTACTCACAGAAGCTTCTACACAGAGAAGTCTTTACACAGAGGAGCTTCTACACACAAACGAGTTTACACACAGAAGCTTTTACACAGAGGAGCCTTTACACACAGACGAGTTTACACACAGAAGCTTTTGCACAGCGGAGCTTTTACACAGAGGGGCTTTTACACACAGAAGCTTTTGCACACAGAAGCTTCTACACAGAGAATTATTGCCCTCTTCGAGGCGAGCGCCTGAACAGATCAAGAAATCATGAAAATGAGCCATGCCTACAAACCTAAGCACCTAGAACGGTTCCTCATGTGAGGCTTTACGAGCTGGCAAAAGATGCTGATTCACCAATGCCCATCGAGCGGATTTACATCCAGAGGTTGCGACTCCTTTTTCATGTGATGGGGGTGCAAGACAAATTCATGCTGGGTGGAATTTTGCAAAACTATCACATTGCCGGCAAAGAGTCTTGGCTTCACAGAGCCCTCAAGATCAGCTGGATGCGCAGTCAGGTTGGTGATTTTGCAGTTCCAGCTGAATTAGACGGCTTGCACGATCCTACGGTGTGGGAGGCTTTTGCTCCTTTTGCAAAGCAGCTTGCAAAGACGCTGGGGAAGGCAAAGGCGTCACACATGCTCAAGGTGAGGAACATCTGCGAACTCCACAGCCATGACAAGAGGCAGAGCGAAATTTTGCACAGCATTGGATGGACTAAAGCAGGCAGTAATGAGAAAGAAAGTCAAGGTGATCAGCAGGTGAGTCACTGTGACGAATGCACAGAATGCTTCAAAAATGGAGCAGCTTTGGCGGTCCACCCAACAGAGAAAGCACGGTATAGAAGAATCGCCATGAGACGTTTTGCAGCAGATGCAGTTTGCAGAGCATGCCAGAGATTTTTCCATACTCGTCCAAGACTGCTTCGTCACTTGCACATGGGCACGGCTGACTGTTGGGTGTGGCATTGCAGGCGGTATTGGCCTATGACAAGTGAAAGAGCCCACGAGTTAGACCATGAAGACAAGAGAAAAGGCGTAGCAATGCATCAAAAGGGCTTCATGGACCAGGAAGATGACAGGATCTGGCGAGAATGCCAGCATTTGGGATTGATCGATGTGCTAGCGCTGCGTCAGGAAGAAGAAGCAGACCATTCACAGCCCAATGAATCTGAGTTGGAGGATTGGAGACAGATCGGCCTCTTGCCACCTGGAAAAGGGGGACGGGAGACCATTGCGAGAACATTGATGGACATGAAAGTACATCATGTGAGCAAGGACACAACTGACTTGGAGCGAAGCCTTCTTGCGGACATCAGGTGGGAGCCATGTCATGATTGGGTTCCTCGACCCCTTGCATTGGGGACACAGTATTTTCTCATCATGTTCACAGGCGATTTGCGGATTTGGCACAGTGGATCACATGGGGCAGCGATGTGATTCCAATCTCCATAGATCTTGCAAGTGACAGCCATCATGGCAACATTTTGCGTGATGATATCTGGAAGCGATTAATCTGCTCGCGCAAAGTCACAGGTGGACATGCAGGACCACCGTGTGAAACTTTAAGTTTTGCTCGATTGCTGCTTTTGGAGGATGGACAGAGACAGCAACCATTGAGGACAACGCAAGCACCATGGGGCAGAGATGATTTGAGTCTCAGAGAGGTTGAGCAGGTGGTGACTGGAACAGTTCTTATGTTGCAGACCATTCACTTTCTGCTTCTGATCTACCTCCAGGGTGGAAGTTTCTCATTGGAGCATCCAAAAGGCCAAGGTGGCCAAAAAGGACGCTGGTCCATTTGGGATTCTGCTTTCGTGAAGCTTTTTTTACTGGCCGGAAGCATTCAAAAGGACAGATTTCCTACAAGGCCCCTTGGGGCAACCCTTTCCGAAACCCACATCGCTTTTGGCAGGGAGACTTCCTGATCTTCCTCATCATTTGCATGCGCTATATCAGACTCGATGGTGGGCGACAGAGAGGCTCGGTGGCCGCAACAGAGATGGGAAGGGATGGCGGATGGCGCACGTCAAGAGCCAAGGGCTATCCCCCAAGATTGTGCCAAGCATTGGCGGCACTTGCAGCACGCACAGCCTGAAGGGTTGGATGAAGTGCTGAGAGCCCTTGCAGCAGAGTTCAACCCATATCTGCACAACGTCCGTGGCACAAAAATGGGACAGGACTATTGGGGCAAAGCTTTCTTCAATGTGGCCAGAAGCTCCGACCAGTAGCCACCAAAGGTGAAGTGAAAGTCGTAGAGCCCAATTTTGAGCATACCCAGCCACAAGGGTTTTTGTGGGTGTGCTAGCACATGCAAGCGTCCGAAGAGCGACCCAGTCTGAGTGCAATCAAAAATCTCTTCGAGGCGAGCGCCTGAACAGATCAAGAAATCAAAGGATGTACTGAAACTGAGCCATGCCTACAAAGCAAAACACCTAGCCTAGAACCATCTAAATCTAGGTACATGGTAAAACAAACACAGAAGGATATTTCCTGCTTCCAGCCCAACACCCTGATCCGAGTCAGGCGCGCTTGAGCATATTTTTTTCCAGCTTCAGCTGATATCATGAGGTAACAACATCCACACCATCAAGCATACACTATAGGCAGATGCTGTGGACAAAACATCAGCTGGGGACACAAACACCCCCCAAATTTAGGGAGGTGGGCGGGGCAAAAACAGACTTTCAGGAAAGGCCGTGCCAGTATTGGCGAATGCCAATACGTGCTCAACAATCACTTGAACAAAGCACGGCTTCACAATCGACACTTGGGAGGCTTCAACAAGACCAGTGTCCATTCACAAATCCCAAAGGCTCAAACTTGAGGGGAATGAACCCAAAACAGCCCTGAGCTAGGACCTTGGACCTAAGGCGAACCCCACAAACAGAACCCAGGCGACACTAATCCCTGCCATATGAATTCAAAGCACCCCGGGACCGTTCTCTTCCTCACCACCTGAAATAAAGCTACATCAGCAAGTTGAGGTTTGCGTCTTTGCACAGAGGAGCTTTTACACACAGAAGCTTTTACAGAGAGGAGCTTTTACACACAGAAGCTTTTACACAGAGAAGTCTTGACACACCGAAGCTTTTCCACACAGAAACTTTTACACAGAGAAGTCCTTACACAAATGAGCTTTTACACACAAACAAGCTTACACACAGAAGCTTTTACACAGAGGAGCTTCTACACACAGACCTGTTTACACACACAGGCTTTTACAGAGAGAAGCTTTTACGCACAGAAGCTTTTACACAGAAGTCTTGACACAGAGGAGCTTTTACTCACAAACAAGTTTGCACACAGAAGCTTTTACACAGAGGAGCTTTTACACACAGACACAGAAGCTTTTTCACAGAGAAGTCCTTACACAGAGGAGCTTTTACAAACAGAAGCTTTTGCACAGAGAAGTCTTTACACGCCGAAGCTTTTCCACACAGAAGCTTTTGCACGCAGGAGTTTTTACACAGAGGAGCCTTTACACACAGAAGCTTTTGCACATAGAAACTTTTTACCCAGAGCTTTACACAGAGGAGCTTTTGCACACAAATACGTTTGCACACAAACGCTTTTAATATCTTGAAATTAAACAGAGAGGTCTTTACACAAAAGAGCTTTTACACATAGGAGCCTTTACACGGAGAAGTCTTTATACAGAGGAGCTTTTACACGCAATGACTTTTGCACAGATGATTTTTTTACGGATAGACGCGTCTACGGACATTAGCTTTTACACATCGCAGGCAGCTTCTACAGACAGAAGCCTTTGCACACAGAAACTTTTGCATAGAGAAGCTTTTACACACACACAAGCTTTTACACACAGACGCCTTTACAAAAAGAAGCTGTTTTTTACAGAGAAGCTTTTACACAGAGGAGCTTTTACACAAACGACCTTTCACACACACAGACGCCTTTTCTTGCAGAAGCTTGTGCACACAGATGCTTTTACACACAGAGGCTTTTACACAGGGAAGCTTTTACAAAGAGAAGCTTTTGCACAGAGAAAGTTAGAAGAACTTGCTGGAAGCAAACTCCTGTGTGAGAACTCATGTGTAAATGACATTGTAGGAGTATTGTAAGAGATGTAGATTAGCATGTCTCTCTACCATGTTGTTGGGCTATCTCTTTAGAAGCTGTTTTGCAATTATTGTCCCCGAGTTTGGGTAATTATTGTCCCCAAGTTTGGGGATATTTTGTCCCCTTTGGGAATTTGAGTCCCCAACTTTTGGGATTTTTTGTCCCCAACTTTTGGAATTTTTGTCCCCAACTTGCCCCAAACTTGGGGACAACAATTCACAAACTTAGGGACACTAATTGCCCAAACTTGGACAAAATAGCTCTAAAGAAAACGTGGTAGAGCGCCATGCTAAGATGTAGACGTTGAGCACCTGTAACTGTAGATGAATTTGATGTAGATGATGTATGTGCCTACGGCAGGAAAACCGTACGTGCGTTTTGCTTCTTTTTTGAGTATTGCTCTTTGTCTTGGGGTTGGGGTGGGGTGGGGTGGGGGGGCATGTTAACGTTCCTTGTACTTCGTACATGATATATTGCCATGTTGCTAAGATCTCTGGGATCTTTTACTACGTTACGTGTTGCTACGCTGCTGAGATCTCTAGTGTGGGTTGGGGTCGGGGTGGGGTGGGGTGGGGGGGCATGTTAACGTTCCTCGTACTTCGTACAGGATATATTGCCATGTTAGTGTGGGTTGGGGTTGGGGTGGGGTGAGGTGGGGGGGCATGTTAACGTTCCTCAAATTTTGTACAGGATATATTGCGATGTTGCTAAGATCTCTGGGATCGTTTACTACGTGACATGTTGCTACGCTGCTAAGATCTCTGGGATCGTTTACTACGTTACATGTTGCTACGCTGCTGAGATCCTTGGGACTTTCTTACTACGTTACAGGTTGCTACGCTGCTGAGATCTCTGGGATCGTTTACTACGTGACATGTTGCTACGCTGAGATCCTTGGGATCGTTTACTACGTGACATGTTGCTACGCTGCTGAGATCTCTGGGATCGTTTACTACGTGACATGTTGCTACGCTGCTAAGATCTCTGGGATCGTTTACTACGTTACATGTTGCTACGCTGTTGAGATCCTTGGGACTTTCTTACTACGTTACAGGTTGCTACGCTGCTGAGATCTCTGGGATCGTTTACTACGTGACATGTTGCTACGCTGAGATCCTTGGGATCGTTTACTACGTGACATGTTGCTACAGAAGAGTGTGAAAAAAAATCTGCGCATCCACGTCTGATGCACATGATGTTTACCTGGATTTGTTAAAAATCAATAGATTTTGCATCCACTTTTTTTAACCCAAATTCAGTTATCCAAACTGATCGGAAGAGCATTTTATGTTGTAAATTACAGGTGATTGTGACTCTCCTGGAAGCAACCAATCAAAACGCTCGCGCGGTTTCCCTTCCGCCGGGATGTATGTGATGTAAATGAAATTCATTGAAACTGATGTAGATGATGTAGTTGATGGATGTGACGTAGATCAAGTTGATGTAGATGATCTAGGGGATGTAAAGGATGTAGGATATATTATGTAGATGAAGTGAAAAGTTGAAATTGGCAGCAGTTCCTTGGGAAAAACCCTTCGCAAGAGCTTTCGGGAAAAAATATCAACAAGCAAGAATACTGTATGACTTGGGATGACTTGAGTTGTGTCAGAAAGATATATAAATTACCCGTGCTTGTGTCAAAAAGATCGTCCTTGGGAAGGGCTATTCTGGCCTCATCAAAGCCTATTCCGACCTCGGAGCCCATGCTGCGGAGTTCTCATCCCCAATCCCGACAGGAACTTCGATCTGCAGACTTGGCAGGGTGCCTGTAAACCAGGAAGAAAAGGGAAAACCATTCGCTGATGTTGTCCACAAGCACACGGCACGGTGGACTCCAATTCGCAAACCTTGAACTTGCCAAATCACACCAAAAAATAGTTTCCGGTGGGCGAAGAAAAAGTCAGTGGATTCATAAATACACACGCAACCTCAAAAAATAATACACATTTTGGGAGATATCTTCCTGAATCTTGCCCAGAAACAGTATCTCAAACATCGTCAGAAATGTGCGAGTGAACGTTCCGTAGTATCTGCAGTTGGTCAGCGCTCGTGGCAGAAATGAGCTGTCATTGCAACGTACCAATGCTGCAATTGGGCCCTACACGTAAAACCTTGATATGGCTTCATGGTATTTTTGCTATGTGGCTGTGTCTGAAAATGGGGTATATCGGTATATCCCCAATATGCCCCGTTATATCCAATTATATCCAATTAAGGCAAAGCATGAAATAAACCATCGCATTTTGGTTTCACCAAAGCATCTCCGTAGGTCCTGCCTGCAAATGGGTTCCCTCTGCCTCTGGCCTTTGGGAAACCTTCATCAATCGACCAGAAAATTTGAACGATAGGAAACTAGATATCGTACTGGCCAAAATGCCAACACGTGTATCCTAATGACAGCATTCTTGAAGCTAAGTAGCTATAGGTAATTCCGACAAAATAGTCTGACGATGATGAGTAAAACAAAATTAAACATGATGAGAATTGAAAAGACACATCGCGACTCCCACAGATGCATCTTTGCAATTCTTTGCATACCTTGACAGTCCTTTACAAAGTAGAACGATGATCAACCGCAGTGAAGGCAATGGGTGGCAGATGATAGCTGTTTTTCACATGTCGCCTCGAACCTGGTGGGGATTTCCCAGCGGCATGCCACGGCCTGTAGACATCTTCCCGCACTTTCACATCCTGCGTGGTGTCCTCAATGAAATCGCGACAGAGCGTAGAAGCCACGAGACCAGCAACGCATTGAAAGAAGGTCAGCAAGAGAAAGGTCCAGAACAGCCTGTGGTGCAACGCCCAGGTACTGGCTTGTCAACTCTTGAGAAAAGATGTTTCCACGCTGAATTTCAAAACGTGCTGGCAGTCTTTCCATGCTCAATGTTCATCAACTTTCCAGTCCAAAGAGCGCGCCCGTACCAGGCTATTCTTGCAGAAATCATGGGATTGCTATGCATTTCCAGCTCAGTGCAACAAGAACCAGTCCGGTTTACTGCAGCTGTGGAGCATGGTGGTACTGGAGGCCAGGCAGCGCGTCAAGATCTGCAAAGACTGAAGCCTTAGCTGCTAAGCTTTTCTTTTAGCCTCCTGTAGTCAAACATGGCTCGAAAATCTCCCTTGGATGGTTTCCCATGAAAACCATTAAAAACCTCCATTTACTTTGTGGAGGACACCGAGCTTTTCGTCATCTTTGACGCTTTCCCCTCCGGGTCACCAAGTCACACACTATTCATAGCTACCATCCGAATAGCTCGCGCTAACTTGCCAATTCGCAGCAAGCGAAAAAGCCTCTGTCGCTGTCACACAGAAAGGAGAAACTCCAAGCAGACTGCCGATGAATCAACATTTGTGCAAGAAAAGCATGAACATCTGGACAGTGATGGGCCTGCACTGGTCTTGACATGTCTTGACATGTCTTTACATGATTCACTGATTTCACTTTCAGAAAGCATTGGAGAGTGGAAACCAACCGCTCAGGAATGCAAATTAACGACCAGTCAAGGGTTTCGAGCTACCGCAAAAAATATTATATCATTAAGAAACAAAGCAATCTTCCAATTCCTTGTATCAACATAGGTGTTCTCAATTTTTTGGGCTGCGAGTACCTAAATCACCAGTGGCTTATCAAACACATATCAGAATCCCATCTCATTATACCAGTTGGTTGATAGGTTTCCCTACTATGGGTTATTTATTGTCCTCAGTAAATTAGGTAGTATAACTCCCAACAATCGCCAATCAACCAGGATATAACCAATCTTCATGGCTCATGGCTGAAACTTGCAGCTGGAGCGCATCGGATTCACGCCCATCTCTGTTCTGAAAGCCCAAAAGAAAACCAGTTCCGCGAATGCAGCCAGGGTCACCAGGACATCGATGTAGTTCAGGGCAATCTGCAGGACAACAAGTGAAACGTAGGTGAAACGTAGGGACATCATGGGAAGAGAAAATCCATGAGTGGTTTTGGGTAAACAAACATGGATAAACAAATAAAGAAACATATATATATATATATATGAATAATTATGAATACCTATACCTCACTCTGAGTGCAATTTGACATATAATATCATGTAATTATGTAATGACAAATAATGACACATATAATCATATAATCACAATGTATGGACATGGATGCTTTGGGTGAAGTAGGTGAACGTACTTCGGTGGATACTGTGCATGTGAATGGTGTAAAACATATCTTCATGATTTGTCGCAACGTGGAAACCTAGCCGCAACATGGATCTGATGTGCCTGTTGTTGCCAAGCACGAATGCTGGAACATCCACCATTGAGTTTGCTGATTTTCCCAGCTATTAACCTCCATTTAGTTCATTGTATTTTCGAGTTGGCAGTAGCTAGCCATGTTTGATTACCAGAGGATATCTTGAATGGGGCCCAGCAGCCGCCTTCCAGAAAGCCCTACCCAATACGGCCATGCGCACTACCACGTCCGCTGTAAAGACTACCTGGAGTGTCAGCAGGTCTAACCAATGAGGACATTGCTGAAAGACATTGCTGAAAAGCGTTGAACCCTTGCCCAGAGCGTGGCAGTTGAACATGCTGAGTTACTCAGTCTAAATGACCCAACTGAAAGCCACGTGGCAATGCGTCTATAGTTTTTTTTTACATTTTGAACAATAATATTTTACAATGATAAGCCATCATATTGGATGTGAAGAAAGTACTCAACCCACCAAACACGTTCTAAACTGTACCCACCAAAGAAAAAGAAACAAATACCGGCCAGGTTGCTGTGAACATGAGGTCCACGGCAGGAAACACAACGGAGTCCCAATACGCAAGGCTTGCTGTGGGGATCAACGTGCCTGGAAAACCCATGGGAAAAGCGTAAACAAAAACCCGCAATTTAGCACACACTCACCATAAAATCTCCCGAACTGCTCGCTGGACTTCAAAACGCAATCCTGAAAAAGAAGACAAACAAGCAAACTATATCTGAACATGTTCAATTCTGAATGCCTCGCTGCCTCGCATTGATATTATGCTGGTTGTGGTGGTTTCACGTGTTCGGCCTTCCAGAACTCCAAGCTCATATCCACTTTTCGCTCCGAAGATTTGCAACTCGACACCCAGCCACAGGACATAAACACAAAGCAAGCCGGCCACCAACATTTCCTCAGGATTCATCGAGAACCAGCCAAGTTCTCACGAATGGTTGATTGGAATAATTCAAGGGGGTCTCCATAAATGGGGGTACCCCATTTATGGATGGTTCACAATGGCAAATCCCATGAAACTGAATGAATTTACCCCATTTTCGGAAACCCCGTAATGGGAACTAATGGAAATGAATCGGAATGGGAAAAAGTGGCTAGATTCTCCCCATTTCAATGGTGTTTAATGGGACTGTAACAGGAGAAAATTGGTATTCAATGGGGATATGTCCCTGCATTCCACCAACAAATAGGGAATAATATGGTGATTTGAGAAACATATATAAAGTATATATGGGAAATTATTGATTTGAAAAGAAGTGACTGTAGTATCCCCAAAACAGAGATTCAAAAAAGGGGAGGCAATACAGTGAACCATGGAATTTGGGGTGACCCTATTTTCATTACATCAAGAGATAAAGGATAAAGTTGCATTGCAACATTACCCCCTTGATTCAACATAAATCAAAATGACTGAAGCAAACGTGTGGAGGGAAGCAAATCTGTTGGCCAACACTGTTGGTGATGGTTCATTTTGGACATTATGTTTCTGGCCTAAAACGATGGTGATCACTTCCCATCTTCTAATTTTGTGCTGATATCTGATAGGTGCTTCGCTGCCATCTCCGTAAAAGTACATCTGCAAGGCTCGATAGCTTCGGCTGTTGCGGCCGTTTGTTCTGTCCGATTTTATTGTACATCTATGTTGCCAATCCCTCCAAGTTGCGAGCACAGCAAAACTATGCAAAGGTTGGGTTCCAGTCAACTGAACCATGTGCAAAAGATTGTCTGTTGACCAATCCTGCAGGGTGCTGAATTGCTCCACTACCATGAAAACACATGAATTTTCTGGATGGCTACTATAATGACTATAACACAATAGTCGACGAAAGAAGGGCATCCCTTTTAAGCAACAGGAATTCTCTGAAAATAGGACACCCCCAATTCGAAGGGCTTATCACCCTTCTTTCCGAATGCATAGTGAAGGGTTCTCATTATCTCTTGGGTCCGGGGGTGGACCCTTGTTTGCTTGACGTTATTTCACCGGTCGCAATCGTCTGCGATTGTTCGCAACCGTTCATGATCTGCTCTCTATAGTAATGCCATGTTGTGCCATGGGGGAAATCTTAAGGTCAAGATTTCTACAATTTTGCACGTTTTGCAAGTTGATACTTTGGTGTGACTCAAAGGTGAGGGCTCAAGTGTCGCAAATGGTTTTGTGTAACTAACGCAAACCTTTTGCGCTGCCTTTGGAAGATGAGATTGCTTTTCATGGCAGGCGCAGTACTTGGGAGACGTTCAGGGTCATTTTTCCTGGCAAGTCATGCTTTACACGTGGAATGTCAGGGCTGCGCGAAGCAGTGTCGAAGTGCAAATCGTGCGGCAGGCACAGTACATTGCGAGGGAGTCATTTCTCGTGCCTCACTCCACACTTCACGTGACATCCTCCGCACTCTTCTCTCCACACTCCGTCTCGAGGATTTTTTATTGAAGGTGAACGCATGCAATGGAAGGATTGATCAACCCACCAAGCTTCGTAGAAAGAAGATTGCAAAAAAACTTGCAGCTTGACCAGCGCAGTCCTTAGTCACGGCAACTTGGCGCGGTTCTATACCGGGTAAGAAAATGCTGTGGTTTGTAGAACAACATCTCCAACACTATGCAACAAAGAACATGAGTATGATTCGATGATTATATATATATATATTATATGTATACATGATACATCATGATACTCCATGCGAAATTTCTCAGAATGTCAGAGTCAGAAGCCATTCAATATCATCGTGGCATGGTGTGCCTGCCAAAATGGAGGTTTCGGCCGTTTTAACATCCAGTGCTATGCTATTCTACAGTCAAACCAAGGCCTGTCCAAATAGGTCTTGACCCCAACCCTAAGAGCTTTGTAACGATCTCAGAACCGGCGTGGGCCGCTTCAGCCTACGAGTCGTCAAAAATATCGTAGGCTTTTCTGTGCCTTTCTGTGCCTGTCCCATCCTTTCCCATCCTGTACGGTACTTTTGGTAGCCAGGCGACTCCTTCTTGGGAGCCTCTGCTGCGAGTTCAACCGACTGCTCGATTGGGCCTAAATCCTCGAAGGTCTGCATGATCCTCAGAGGATGGGGGATGGCTTCAGCTATGGGAGCTACGGCCATGGATACCCCATATCAATGTGGGGCACCAGTGGAGTTCTGCCCACCTGGTTCTGGAAACCGGGGAGAAAGGCTGAGAAAATTCATTGAAAGATCATTTACAGTAAGTACCCTCCACTGAATATCATTCTGTTCCACCTACCTTAGCTGGTCACATCCCATTACACTACGGCTCAATATATCCCATGGTTTCTTGGTGATATCCCCACGAATCTTCATTGTTTCAAATGGGCGGTGAGCCGCTTCCTCCAAAAATGGATGATTCTCAGGATCTATAATATTCTATAATCTTAAAAAAAATATAAAACCTATTTCAACTCTTAGTTCGGGCCGGTAAATAGTGGTAAACATGTGGTAAACCATCAGGTGCATCTTCGTACCCAGTTGGATCCAGGGCAGCCTGAGTCTCCCACCTACTTGCTTTCACCTTGGTGGCATTCTTGTGCTGTTGACCTCAGGATTCATCAGGATTCAACCAGGTCAACATGCCCTGCTTCGTGACTGAAACCACTGAAACGCTGTGAAGCAAACACACGCAAAAAAGTGAAACGTGAAAAACATTAAAAAAAAAAACATGCCTTTAAGTAATGTTTACAAGTTTTTGGGTGGAGGCAGCAAATAATCAGCGTAACATGAAACCGGTGCCATCATGAGCATATATCACCGGAAAACCCCTGACCCCTAAGGCCCTAGTTCTCGCAGCAGACGGGGTCAAAATAGGTGGTACTTGTGAATGTTTGGTACGTTTTCATCAGCCTGTTTGACCCATCCCCACTTACGGTATCACAAAAGTGGTAGAACCAATGCAATAGCTGCAATAGTTGCAATCCCGGTAACCACCCAATGGGACACAATAAGCAGCATCCCATTACTATGGGCATACTCAATTTCCCAAGGCCCCATTGCAATGGTCTATAATATATTCATTTTACCATCTACTTATCCTGGTTTATTCATGAGTATAGAATCAATATCCTATAGGATATAAATAAATCTCCTCTAAGACCTCTAAGGAGTAAAAATACATAAAATACCCAAATAAATCACCCATCATTGGGGGTTTCAACACTGCTAAACAATCTTGAACTACGGACGTCTGACGTTTCGACCGCTCTTCTCCAAGCTGCACATCAGTTGAGAGATCCGCCGCTTTCGACGGCCAGACTCCTGGAGTTCCTGTCCCAGGTGGGTTTGCCTGAGGATGAGGTAACCCCCCCAAAAATGGATGTTTATCATCATTTACTCATCATTTTCAGCATCACATTTTTTCACTTTTGGGGTTTTGGAGCCATCAACTATCATCAACTCTTAATTCAGCGGGGCGGAGGCCCTGTCAGACTGTCAGCCGTCCTCTGGAAGCGAAGCAGGCGATCCCAGTTGTGAGCCTTCCTGACCAGAGTTGTCGGGTGACATTTTGCCGCTGGACACCTTGCTGCCATACACTTTCGGCGAGGCCAGACCGCGGGCCAACGACCTGGGTGGAGTTGGAATCATCTTGAAGTTGAGATTTTTACGAAACATGTGTCTGGTTGGTGGTTGAGCCACCCCTCTGAAAAATATGAACGTCAGTTGGGAGATGTTGGGAGTATTATTCCCAATATATGGAAAACATGTTCCAAACCACCAACCAGTGATATATGACGATATATGTGGATATGTACTCTCACTTACCAACATCCCCAGTTGCAAGGAGGCAGAATCAATACATAAGCATACATAAGCCATACCTCTGAGGAGAATTATCTAAGGCCACTGTGAAACGGTTCTCATCCCGCCAAGCGGGTTTGAGACTCTGAAGTGGATTGCCTGTGACCAAACTATGATGAAAAAACACAACTTCATTTGTATTCCATGTCAAAAATTGTATTAGTGTTATTGTTTAAATATTTCCAGAGATCAAATTCATATTTATGATATCAACATATATTTCCTGATGTCTAAACCCATGTTTCCGCTGGCATTGTCATATTTCCGAGCGCAGTGCCAACACTGCCAACACCAATGGCTGTGTTCCCCGACAGCTCGACTAAATGCTGATGGGCCAACTTTTCCATGAAAAAACGAAAAGTCGGTGACATTTCACTGGTCATAGCCTGGGAGCAAGATCAGAGCCCTTGGAGTCAAGGCAATTTTCACGTTTTGAAAGAATCAGATGTCGTTTACCCTCTGGTGAACTAACAGTTCGCAATGGAAAATGGCTATTTATAGTGGATTTTCCCATTGAAAATGGTGATTTTCCATTGCTATGTTAGTTCACCAGAGGGTAGTTTTTCTCTTGAATACATTGTAGTCATTGGTGAGAAAAGAAAATTACAGGCACCAGCTGATCCAGAATCGGTTGAACTGCGACTCAACTGTGTAGAGTTTAAACACTGTGCACCCTGTGCTGAATTGGATCTGCTGAGAAATCAAACAATTACATGTCAGTGGTGTCAGGCTCTCGTGAGACAACTATATATATTATTATATATTTATATATAAAGGTATCATGTGGGTACAACTTGGTACAAGCCTAAAGGATCCCAAAAGTGTCAACACAATATCACCGACATTCACCGACGGATGTTGCTCTTCCGTACCTCCTATACAATCTTCCCAGCTTCACACAAAGCCAGAGCAACTGCTGCATCGAAGGGCACGCTGCTTTCTGGATTTTCCTGGAGCAAGTGCAAAACAGGATGTGACGGCCATCTATGTTCATTCTCTTCGCATCAGCCCTAAGGCACGGGGTTTTCTTCATGGCTTTGATCAGAAGAATCCGAAGACTTGGCATTCGCGCAGCAATTGCGCGGCATATTTAAGTTCCCATGTAGCAAGTTGTGACCATAAGATACCATAAGTATTACCCAAATGAGTTGCCTCCCCTGACTGGGGCTCCACTCGGACTCAGAAGGTGAGTTGTAACGAAGCAAACTCACTGAAACCATACTGAACGATCAATAAGCATCATTGTCCAAGTGTAAACCATTACTGTATGAAACTTGATCAATAATAATTATCTGTGACACTATTCAACAATTTATTCTCCACCACACTCCATGACTCACCACACGGCCCCCTAGCCAATTATTTATAAACCCCATGCACTATTACATGTATTACAGTTGTATCTACCATCAGAGTTGGAGTTATTTGCACCGAGTTATTGGAGTTATTTGCACCAAGTTAGATCAACTTCGCGATTTCGTTTCGTTCTGAAGGGTCCCACCTTTTTCGTCCCACCTTTAGCCCCGACATCGTTGGGTGGGGCCTCTGGCAGTCGTGGTTGCACCGTCTGCACCGCAGGCAGACGGTGAAAGCCCATTGCCTTGACGGGCTCCACGTGCTCGACGGGCTCGACCCGATCCTCGCCCTCCATATCCAGCAGGGCGCCGTATGGAGCGCCGAGGGGCCACTTGATTTGATCAGCTGTGGATTGGGGCAACATGATGGCTTTAATATGGGTTTAATATGGATTTAATATGGGTTAACTGCACTTCAGTTATACTTTCAGTTATACTTGAGGTTCTTCTGTTTGCCAACAGGCAAAAATTAGCTTTCTGGTACACGTCCTAGAGTTTTCTGGGTCATTTGCAATTCACAGCCCTCTCTGCAACACTGTGACAATGACAGAATGTTCACCCTGACTTGATATGACTTGCTGTGGCGTTCACTTTGGGTTTGATAGTTGAAATAGATTGAAATAGGCTGTACCCCAAGATTTTTGATGCTTGAAAAGTTGAAAACATTGCTTTACCATGTTTTACCGAGTGAACATTGCATTTTTTGGGACCGGATATACTGCCAGCCCCAGAGCTCGGGAGTCCCCACCAACCAGGACTTCTCCGGTACACTTGCGGAGCCTGCCCGGTGCTACAGATTTTGTTCAGAGTAGCGGGGATGATTTGAGTAGCAGAGTAACTGATAGTAACTGTTCAAATCAATCAGCTACAAGGTGGCGCCCCCAGAAAATGAAGTTGAGGTTGAATAATATCTGGTTGGTGGTTTTTCGCCACCCCTCTGAAAAATATGAGTTTGTCAGTTGGGAGTATTATTAATCATAAAAGCCATTTTTATCGGAGTTATGAAACAACTTAGCCCACTATGGGGCACCACCTTATATGTTTATTGATCTGCACTCAACATTACTCTGGCCTTGAAAAATGACATGTTTTTTGCTGTGCATATCATTTACAACTTTTACGCTATAGAAACTGACCCGTTGAACCTACCCATGGTTTCCGCAATATCATAGACTATCATGCTATGAGTATGGCTCAAAATGATTCAACATGACCAACTTCCAAAAATAAACCAAAAAATTGATTATGATTGGAAATTGCAGGCCACCCTAAAAATCATCAAAATGGATGTATTCTCCTGGATTGATCCCCAACATGTCCAGCCATGTCCCTTGGAAACTGACTTTACCATACTTTACCCCATGGATCTAGGCCTGGAAGTGCGGGTGTCCGTAAGGCCGCAGGGGCCACAGGGGCCGCAGGGGCCGCAGGGGCCGCAGACGTGGCCGTCGCTGGAGCTGCGAGACGCAGCATTCTGTCGGGCTTTGGCAAAATTCAACAGGAGTTGGTCACTTTTTGTTGGAAGTTCAGTAAACAAGGATCACTATGATCACTCATGTTCGTTTTTTTTATGGGAATCATCTCATGGTTGATCAATGTTGATCATTGATGGGTCTGCCTACTCGTTTTTTCACAGCAGTAGCATGCCATATCTGTCCTGACATCAGCCGGAGGTGGAGTCAGCATGGACCAAAACGCCACGGGTTTCATCCACCAGCATTAAATGAACAGAAATCAGGCTGAATCTTCCTTCAACAAAAACTTATAACATCTGGTTATGACTAACATAGCCATGGTTTTTAGATGGCCCATAGAAATAGATGGTTTACCTATTAAAGATGGTGATTTTCCATGGCTATGTTAAATAACCAAATGGTATAACATCTTTTTTTACGTAGTATAAAATCGTATAAAAACATCGTGATTCGTATCACTGGCGCAGCATCAAACATGGAAGTTGATTCGTCTTCCAGCCATTATCTTCTCGTGGGCAACCATTGTCATTGATCCAATGGAAAACGCTGTAAAACCTAATAAAACCAATGTAAAAACACATACAACCACATACTACCAACCAAACAAAAAAACAAATAAATCCATATAACACCATAAAACAAAACATAAAATCTTACTTGAAAAGAAACTTATAAAACCATTTTGAACCCATTCTGTCTGCATCGCGACTCGCACCACTTTCCGCCAGCTTGCAACAGGTCACTTTCCAGCCGGAGCCTGGTGTTCGATCGGCCGGACTCATCGATGACATCGTGAAACATGTGGACAAGTTTGGGTTCGTCTGAAAATAGGGTCCAGAATTTGATGGTTAGGAATCATGTTCATTCACTTTCCCTATTCAATGGATATTTAATGATATTTAGAAAGGTATCCTCCAATTTTCAGATGCACCCATTTGGAAAGTTTGGAAATGAAACCAAAACAAAAATCGAAACAGAATGATTCTGCTGAAGTGACTAAACAACTTCTGAATTTGAAATGTTGGACTTAGCTCTTGACAGCTGGAGATTCGCAAGGCTTATCTCAAGCCCCACCTCAGCTCTTGGACAAATCCTGTGGGAACAACTCAAGTGGAGGTTTCATATGGTTTCATGAGGTCTCCATAAATCGGGTACCCTCAGTTATCATCCATTTTCATAGCAGTGTCCATTATAAAGCATCCATACCTTGGGCTACCCGCATGACGAAACCAGTTCTCTCTCGGTATAAAAAGGCCTGGACTCTGAGATCTTTCGCTGGGCCAGAGACATGACCTGAAAAGGATCTTGCGGCAAAGCCGCTTGGATGGTCGATAGCCTTTTTTGCATAGCCCCAAATTGGATGCTTTAAGACAAACACAAAACACACATCTGTGTTTCCTCTTGTGCCGTGTGCCATGCAGTTTTTCGACACTCAATTGGTAGCTCTGACCGATCCAATGAGGTACCCCATGGAAATCGACATCTGATCGGGTATCCCCCCAAAGGTCAACCTCCCACCAAAAGGACTAAGGGCTTTTTGACCCCCAAAAGAAGCTGCGCACACTGAGTGATCTGGCAATTGCTGCGGTTCCATTGCGCATGAACACACTCATGGAGCCTGGCAAGATACCTGCACGAATCAAAGTGGTCCGAACGTGTCCCAAAGCACAATGTAAACGGGCCATTCAAAGTAACCTGTTGATTGGGTCTCCTATTGAGGGTATACTGTTTTAACGGAGATCATAATCCAGAATAGGATCCTATTAACCCACCAGTATAACGGGATAGGATAGGGGTGTTTTTCATCCACATCTGGGTTTAGGTAACAACATCTTTAACAAGCAAAATGGTTGCTGAAACAAAAATCATGGTGATGCAATTCGCCTGAACATGGGCGGCCACAAAATCGCTGGTTTCCCCTACAATCGACAAGATATTCTCAAGGAGATATATAGCCATATAAGCCAAGATCTCATCCAGCCTCTGTAAAGGCCCAAAGGTCCCAAATGCATGATGCGTTGCCTAATGGCACACAAAGAACGGGAACTTGCATTGCACAGCATAGTTATAGCTCCATGTTGAATCACATATAATCGCTAATTAATGATATCAATTAATACCATGTTAAATTATAACCAAACAACATGCTTATCTTGAACTATACAAATATATATACACATCATATCTCTCTCTCTCTATATATATATACATGCATGTGTATATATATATATGTGCGACGGTCAAAACTCAATTCATGTGGTGAGGTCAGGGCATCGCTTCATAAGGCCCCCTATCGCTACACACAGTCCCAGCACCCTTTTCATCAGCTAGGCAGAATCGCTGCTAGAAGAGGAGGATCCAGATGAGGAATCGGATTCTTATTCCTCTTGCGATGGTATCTCCAGGGAAATTCAAACTTTTACGTGATCACCAAGGCTGACGTCGACAGCTTCAGCTAGACACCAGCCGGACTCACTGCAGGTCATCTGACCTCGGAGGCTGCCCTTGGCTTGTGTTGGCTTGTCTTGGCTTGTCTTGCCTGTGCTGCCTTGTTTCCGGCGCCTTTTTTTCTTCACCCCGCCTCCTTTGCAACCTAATACCACGCCAAAATGAATCGGCAAAACCCTGACCAAATGAACCCTTTAAGAACTAACCCAGTAAGAACTTGAGGGTACCCTTGTTCATACTTCCCATATTTTTCCACCTATAGCACAAGTTGTATAGTTTCAAGTGACCATGTGGGGTACTCCCTAATTTGATGGATTTCATGTATCGCTCTGGGTATCGAGGGGTATCGCTTCGGGCATCGCTACGGGGACCAGAAAATGTGTGATCTCAGGGGTATGTTTCAAGTGACACGAAATTCTGACAAGCTCCATGTTGCAATTCTACTCCTGGACAGTGGCTTTGGAGAAGCGTCCGTGACCGCACAAGGATGCTTTTTCAACATATCTCAGCACGGTCACTATCTGAATCAACATCATCACCATCACCATCATCATCAGCATCATCACCATCATCAAGCTCATGATGCGATATGAATTAGTTTCTTGCATACCTTATAGATCAACATACCACAATATATCAACATTGTTTAATGTAACTATCTCATATATACTTGACGACAGGCCATCTTGCAACTACCCAGGAAGACCAGCCCACTGCGACTGCTCCAGTGTCGCACTCTGACATCAAAAGATTGGAAAGTCATGCGCCCAACAGGAAGGTTCAATCATAAACAAAGTCTAAAAAGAGGTATCGCTACATAAGGCTCCCTATCGCTACACACAGTAAATCACATATTTTGAGTAGTGATGGCGGATCGTAATTGAAGCCTTTCATAGCGTCTTTTGACCCTTGCTCATATATATATATATATATTATTTATAGCACGTGATTCTATATTGAATCGAACTTTCCTTAAAAAACACGTGTCTCGCTGCAGCTGAATGGCCGTAGTGTTGCTTGCGCATTTCCGTCAATGGCAGTTCCTGCCTGCACCTGAAGCGCACCAACTGAGGATGGATTACCCTATGGTAAACATACAAAAAACTATGGAAAATCACCATTTTCAATGGGAAAATCCACTATAAATCACCATTTTCAATAGCAAACTGTTAAATTACCAGAGGGTAGTCCTACTGCTGAGGCTTTTGGAATGTTGATTTACGTGTCAGTGTTAGGCTTATGATCATGACCAATCCCTTTGAATCCACATGAGGGTTCCTATTAAATGGGAGACCCCAAATCATCCCAAATCATCCATTTCAATAGGATTTTCCAGTGCAAACCATCCATAACTTGGGGTACCATTGGGTACC